TGCGTATATTGCGGCCATGAGATGCTGAATGCAATCCGCAGTGTTCCTGTGCATTCCTTGCTTTAGAACAGCAGCAGTCCTTTCGAGTCGTCTCTGGATATTTACTTGCCTGTCTCTGGGGATCTTTTTCAAGTCCGCACAAATTGATATTCACACCCACACACCCATGCGGATTAATGTCTTGGGGAAGGCCTATTTCACCCACAACTTGGCCTTCTAGCAAATTTCACGTCAATTACCGAGGTTTAGATGTGATAGAATAAAAAATACGTGCGCCTGATTGGTTGTGTGATAGGTTTAAGTGGTATATGTGGCAACGTTTTGTTGCTTTACATTGACTCATAATAATTATATCTACTACTTCCTGCTTTTGATACATTTCTTTTATTTTATCTAATACGTCTCCATATTACCCTATCCGCATAAGCCCCATCACCACCGGTCCCATATTACACAGTTCTGGGGTTTAGTTTCAGAGGTGAGCCCTATGCTAGACTGTTACCGTTGCCTGGCTTGTAGAATGCGTCAGAAAGTATCCGCGTCAACGACTGTGCACTGTTACAGCTCAGCGGCCTACTATTGCCCTGCCCGGTTTAACCGAGCTATTAGACTCCTTTTCTTGTGGGAAATTCAAATAAATGTTAAATTTTTTAGCTCCCTCGGAAAATAGTGCGCGAACTCGGAGTAGATACTCCTGATCTTTTAAGCAGTACCTATGTTGTCAGTATGCTGAATCATTCAACACTTAAAATTACTGTCGGTTGAGTTTTGCAGAGGTCGTTTGTATGACTAACATTTGCGCGAGACGTTGGTAAATCAACTACGGAAGCGGGAAATATTGAAATGAGAGAAGGGATTTGAATTCAGACAAGAGAATCTAACAGAGAGAAGAGTGTGCACCATCACCATTCTTCCAGTTTGCTTCATTCTAGGCAGGGAAAAAATGGGTCCAGCAAGTGAATTTTTTAGTCCCGTGGTTGCATACACACATTCGCTATTGCCGTCTTCTACCCATGCCAAACCGATGGCGTGCCGCAAGTATGTGCATCAGGCGTAATTCTAACCTCATGGTGTTTCTTGTCATGCTAATTTTAGATCAAGTGACACCTCAACTGGTCCGCCTCCTATACCTCTTATAATCCCACTCTTTGCCTCCTGCCTCTTCGAGGTGTTGTGTCTTTCACGGCCTAACGTTGCGCTAAAGTTCTACAACTGCAAGATCTCACTAGAACTTGAGTCTTTGTCTGCAAACTGATAATCTTCGGATATTGTTTTCGCATTTACAATTGTTACAGTTATTGAGAAGAAGAAGAAGACGACTCGATCGCTGCAACAATACTTTTATTCGCCTGACGTTACAGTTATACACCTCGTACCAAAATTTGGTGTCTCAATTTGTTTACAAATATGACGTACGTTCTGGGCGGACTGAACGAACTTGCTTAGAGTTAATAAAGCCCCCATTGCACCAATTCGGCATTCCTTTTGCCTTATGTGACACAGTAACACGTTTAAACTGCTGATGAAAATGGTGGTTTTGTTGGCAGCCCGTGGTGTTTCTTAGTGCCTAGAAATTGAAAGTCGGCCTGCACACGTTAGGCCCGGAGATATTTTTAGTTGGATAAGTTGACGGTTTTCGTGTCTAACCCGTTCTTTGAATCTCCATCATTCCATTTGAAAAATACAAAATAAGGTAGATTTTGACGTGTCTAAGCTAACTTTTATTCAATTTTGCCACTGAAATAAACACATTTTTGGGGAGTTTTCATAGATTCATCCAGTTCTAGTTGCCTGGCAGGAGTTTTCTGAATATCCTTCAGAATCACACAAGAAAACACATAGTAATTTCAGGGAAAGAACATTAAATATATTAAGATGTGGGGTTGTGCATGGTATAATCTGATTCCTAACAGACTGCGTGAACTTATTAAGCAGTCACAACTAGGTGCATGCACAGGACATCCTACATTATCAAAGAATGATCAATTTCTTTCCAACCATAGATATGATTTTGATCAAATAGAACATGTTTCTTAAGCCAGCTAGGGGTGCCAGGCGGTTCACGGAGCCCGAAAACGTTTGGTGTAGAAGAAGTCGAACTGCCGACCGAAATTCCGACAGATTACTTAACAATTCTTTCATATCGTCACATTTTGCTCACATGTTTTCAAGAGAATTCGGGATATTACCCTCCCCGAAATCTATCATCGTCCTTTCTACCCCAGTAAATTTGCCTCGGCTCTTAATTCCTTTTAATAGATCGGTACTGAGAGCGGTAACCTGGAGGATATTTCAGTCTTTGCACGGTTTGTACTCCTCTTGTCTGCTAAAATTCAAATACTCTTTTTTTTACCTGCCGCGTTTTACTAGGAACGCGCTGAATGTACTGAAGGATGATCTCCTGAGCCGAATTGACGATTTGACTGGGTAAGCTCATGCCGTAAGGTCTTGCGTCTCTACTACTACTATCACTGGTATTACTACAAATATTATTATTACTATCATCGATCTTATTCGGACTGCTATTAGTATTACAATTACTTATAATGCTACTGTTCATACTACAGTAGTCGCCGGCTATTAAGCCCACCTCGGGCCCAGACCAAATT